GTGCTGCCTCCCAATAAAATCCCAAATGTACAAATCATATAGCAGACAAACAATGTATGCAGTGTATATGATTGCACTTCTGTGTATACCAATGCACACATGCATTCATAAATCATGACCATATGTATCATTAAGGGGCTCTGCTAGACTTCTTAGTGTAAATCTGCAAATGCTCTTTAGCCTGACAGCCTCACAGGTGCAGGAAATAAAAACACTACCACACACACACACACACACACACACACACACACACACACACACACACACACACACACACACACACACACACCTCGGCCTTCGCTCTGCTTCTTGACCAGTGTCAGCTTGTATCCATCTCCATAAGTGCTCTTGAGAAAGAGCGGGGAGCCACAGCATTTGAGTTTCCCGTGTGAGATGATGGCGATGCGATCTCCCAGAAGGTCGGCTTCATCCATGTGGTGGGTCGACAGCAGAATTGTGCGGCCTAAGGCAGAGGAGCCACACACACATGTAGGAGGTGGTTTGGGTTACATTTACCAAGCAGGACATCAAAAAAGGACAGAGAGTGTCTCTGCAACAATGTTCTGAAAACTGAACACAGAGGACATTTTTCCCACGTGCATACAAGAAATATGCACAGACTGAACAACATTAAATATCTTTGGTGAGGATTAAATCCCTGGATTGATGTCATGGCACTCTGCACGATACCTAGGAGTCACTCACCTTGTTTGTACTTGAGAATGAGATCCCAGATGGCTCGGCGGGCGTAGGGGTCCACCCCTGCGGTCGGTTCGTCTAGGATGACGGCCCTGGAACCACCAACAAAGGCAATGGCGACAGACAACTTTCTCTTCATCCCACCAGACAATGTCTGCACCAAGCTGTGACGCTTATTGGACAACTCCAGGTCAACAATCATCCTGGACACACACAGACAGAGAGAGTTGACACTGGTTGGGTGAAAAGTTGTGAGGCAAGTTAAACCCTAATGAGTCCCGAACAACTAAACAGCATTAAGCCTGTGCTGTGACCTCAGTGCCTTTATATATGCACAGTTTGAATTTCCATAGGCTCTTTATCTTACAATACAAGGTGCCTCTGGGCAACTGCTGTTGTAATTTGGCGCTACATCAATAAAGCTGAATTGAATAAAAGCAGCTGACTTGTCCATCTCCTTGCAGATGTCTTCTTCAGCCATGCCTTTGAGCCTAGAGTAGAACCACAGATGCTCCTCCACACTCAGCTTGTCGAACAGGACGTTGTGCTGTGGACACATCCCGAGGTTCTGTCGAATACGCTCCATCTCAGTGCGGATATCGTGGCCATAGATGGTGGCAGAGCCAGAAGTGGGCGGGAACAATCCTGTCAGGATGGACCTGTGAACATACAGTTTAGATTACAGGTCACAGCGATACATTAAACAGGATGTGTTGCTTAAATGCTGTTTGGTCCAATATAACTTTAAAAATATCAC